GGTGTTCTCTGGGGCCACACAATGAGAGTACCCAGCAGGCTGCTGGTGAGGGTCTGGAGGGGGCACAGAATGAGTGTGGGGTCAGGAGTGGGCTTTGTTGTTGCCTCAGAGAGCTGGACTTGGCTGTTAGTAACCACCTGTGTGCATCTCCTGCTGTGCGGCCAGGAGCCCCAGGCTTCCTTTTCCAGCCAGCGCTGCCTCTTAACCACCCAGGGGGCTGCGTGTGGCCCAGGTGCCTGAGCCTCTTGCACACCCAGCCTGTGCACCCTGGCCCTTCCAGAGCCAAAGGTCCCTGCCAAGCTGAGACCCAAAGCTCTAGCTCCTACACATGCTGTGCCTAGGCCCTGTTGGTGGCCTTCTGTTTTCCCAACCTCTCTCTTTTCCCAGGAGCCCTGGTGGCGCAGTGCGTACATGTTGGACTGCAATCTGCAAGGTTTGCAGTTCGAAGTCACCAGCGGCTTGGAAGAACCGTGGGGCTTTCCACCCCCGGGTACAGTTATAGTCTGGGGCAGCTCGATAGAGACCTGTGAGTTGGCATCAACTCAATGGTTGTGAGTTTGGAGTGGGATCTCTCTTCTCTTCTGGGCCGTGCTCCTGCCCCCTGAAGTGGGGTGCTGCTCTCCCCAGACTCCTCTCAGCAGCTCCAGGAGCCCACAGGGCAGTGGAGTGGCCATGGGGGAGTTCTCTGTTCCCTGCCGAGGACGTGAATGGGCTGGCAGCGGCCAGCAAGCTTGGTCTATTTTCTTAAGTTAAAGCTCTGAGAAATTAGGTGGTACTTTCACCCTGTGACCTTGCTGGTGACCAATTGACGTTTGTGGTCTGGAGGGCCAGGGCCCCCAATTCTGATCACTGCAGTCCTATTGGGGCAGGCCCTGAGGGCCCAGGCTTGCAAGTCACAGAGTCTGTGCTTGAGGGGTGGGGTGTCAGTGTTCCCCAAATCCAGCGCCAACATCCCACAGGCAGGAGTCACTCGCTCACTAATGCCTCCAGTCCAGCTGACAACTGGGGCCTCCTGTCAGCCCAGGACACACAGTGCCACACATGCTGAGGGCCTGCAAAGCCAGGTGGCCTAGACAATGTTCAATGATTTGGTTCAATGTCCCCTGAAGCCTTCTCTTCATCTCCCACACAGGACCAGCATGGGTTTGCTAAGAGTGAAGTCAGGGCTCCACTGTGCTCCCCCAGTGCTGTGAGGTCACCTGATGCCCAGGCTGTCACTTGGGGCTACCTGCACAGGGCAGGCACTGCACCCAGGGCACATTCACAGCATGAAGGGAGCTCAGAGCCTCGTGGCACTGTGAGGCCACTGCCCATCCTCCAGTAGGTGTTCTCCACTATGCAGAGAGGGACCCATCAGGCCCAGATGCCAACGAACCCATCTCCCTTGTCCCAGGCTTTCTCTGACCACAGCTGTAACCCCAGGCCAGAAACTGCCTCTCTGTGCCAGCTCCTCCAGCCTCCTGGGGGATGGGCCCTGCTAGGGATGGGCCGGGTGCCAGGGAAGGGGCCTGTGTGAGTCTGTGGGGCGTCTCTGCCGCGTCGAGCCTGCCATCCCAGTGGACTGCTGCAGAGGGCTTCCATAAGGGCGCTGCTGGGGGTCCCTGCCAGCGGAGAGGGCGGGTGATGAGGGTGACCTATTTTTGCACCAGGCCCCAGTTGTGGTGGGTCTCTGCCAAGCTTCCCGAGTGAGGGTTTGCACGTCAGAGGAGGACTGCAGAGTGGGAAGAGTTCCCGGGCTGCTGTGGGGTCACCCCTGCTTGTTAACTGCATGCTAGGCGGGCAGCCTGAACCCCCAGAGGTAGGGGAGGGAGGGCATTGAGAATGGTGAGGAAGGGGTCCTGTGCCCGCTGGCCTCCTGCTCTTTCGACGCTCTCGAGATAGGGGTGGTGGTGACCATTCTATGAGTGTTGAGAGAGCCCATCAGTCTGGAAGCTTCTTGATCTTGTCTTGCTTCCGACATCCTAGGGTTCAGCGCAGGAAGCCAGTCACATCAGCCAGAAGTGGTCTGAGTGCCTCCATCCCATCCCTCCACCCGCCAGACCCTGGGGGCAGAGGCATAGGCAGAGGGGTCGGGAACCAGAGTCAGGAAAATGGACACACTTCCGGGCAGCAGTGGGAGATGCCCACCGCACTATCTTAGCCCCCATCAACCTACTCCCGTTTCCAGCCCTGCCAGGGTGGGGGTAGAAATGCCAACCAGCCTACCCTAGGCCCCCCTGTTCCCAGCCCTGCCAGGGTGGCGGTCCCCTCCATAGCGCCAATCCTGGCACCTCCACATCCCGAGGGATGGACCACCACAGAGCACTTCCCTGAAATGAACTCCCCCTCCGGCCCCGAAGATCCGCCCAGACCACAGAGTACATGGTTCCCCAGGGTCCCCTCCCCAGCTGGAGGTTCAGTAGGCAGGCCTCGGAGTGCCAGGCTCCTTGGAGGCTGGCCGGGAGGAAAGGAAGGGGCGTGGGGACTGAGGTGGCAGCGGTTCCCCTCCCTCCATTCCACCCACAAAACGCCCTGGTTCGCTTTTCACCCCCCTTTCTGTGTGTTCCATTGCAGCTGAGGAAAAAGCCTCCAAAGCCGTCAGCTTTCCTCAGCTGCCCCTGGACTGCCCAGGGGGCCCCGGGGACGGGCCCTCCAACTTGCAAGGCTCCCCAGGCCCTTGCCTAGCCAACCTGCGCGTCCCGCTGTCTCCCGGGCTCCCGGAGTCCATGGACTTGGCCAAGAACAAGAACAAGAAGCGCCGGAACCGCACGACGTTCAGCACGTTCCAGCTGGAGGAGCTGGAGAAGGTCTTCCAGAAAACCCACTACCCGGACGTGTACGCCCGAGAGCAGCTGGCTCTGCGCACGGACCTCACCGAGGCCCGGGTGCAGGTGAGGGGCCGCGGCCGGCCGCTGATGTGAGCCAGACCAGGGCAGGGCGGGCAGGGCGGGCAGGGCGAGGCAGACATCAGCAACTCCCGGAGCTACCCGCCTGTGCCCACTTTTATAGCCGCGGCCTCTCCCACAGTGAGAGAGAGAGAAAGAGAGAGAGAGAGAGAATGTCTGTCTTGGGGTAATGACCTCTCCCAGCAGTGTGAGAATGAGTGTGTGTGTGTGTGTGTGTGTGTGTGTGTGTGTGTGTGTGTGTGTGTGTGTGTGTGTCAGGTGATGTTGGGCTTGTCACTGGCCCTCTCTGCTTCAGTGTCCCAGTTTAGGGAAAGGAAATGCCACTGGCTAAGGGGGTCCCATCATGGCGATCAGAGGTGTGACAGCAGGTTGGAAGCAGTGAGGTGCTGAACTCTTCTCAGGCTTCACCCATGGTGGCTGTCCAGAAGGAGAGGGGCCCACTAGAGGATCTCAGGGTCAGAGATCCCTACCCCACAGAGAACAGGCCCCAGGGCTTCCCGGATGGAGCCTTTGCTGTGGGGCCTGGAGCAGAGGGAGAAAAAATGACAGGGAAGTCAGGCCCAAGACAAGCTGGAAGCGAAGTGGGTGCTCACTGGGGAGGTGGCTTCAGTCTAAGTCCAACCCAGAAGGATGACAGCCACCGCGGTGCTCCCCAATGCCATAAAGGCCAGGCAGGGCCCCGGGAATCTCTGCCTCTCCCACCACCCAGGGAAGAGCCCACACAGTCTCATCCTGTTGGGGCCCCTCCCATGGACTCTTTCCGAAGGTGATGTGGGGGAGGACTCGGGCAGAGCCTGGGGGCCCAGCCAGTCCAGTCTATAAAGAGGTCGGTCACTTGTAGTGAAGCAGGTCTTATCGTAGATCCCCCCACCCCTGCCTCATAGAACCAGAGGGGTCCTGGGCTGTGGGCCCTCTCCTGCTGACAGGTCCCTCCAGCACAAACTCTCAGGGCTTTCCCCTGGCCTCCCTGAGGCCTGGGATCACCGGGTGGGGCGGGAGGCCCAGGAATGGAGACAACCACCGCAGAAGATAGAGCCTCGGGGTGGGCACTGCCCCGCTGACTGCGCTCCCATGCCTCCCCTCAGCCTGGAGAGGCCCAGAGGAGGGGCCCCGGGGCCCCAGGCCTTGTCCAGAGTCCTCCCCCAGTGATTGATCCAAGTGAGGGCCCACCACAAGCACTGCAGGGGGAGGGAGAGAGACAGGAAGGTTAGGTCCCTAGAATCAGATTCTTAGGGTCCAGGTCCCCAGTGCCTACAGGGGAAGGAGAGGAAAGGGTGGGAATTCCAGCAATGCCTCCCCCCACTCCTTCGACAGGCCTGGTATGGGAGTGGACTCAGCTTCTTACAACTCTCTCACCCAGGGGCAGGGCCACCTGCCTGCACCTCAGAACAGATCCTCCAGGACAGAGTTGAAACTGCTCCTGGGGGTTGAACCACCAACTATGTGGTTAGCGGTCCAGCACCTAGACCACTGGACCAGCAGGGCTCCAGGAATGGCCCGGTGTATGTGTGTATATATATATATATATATATATACAGTGTGTGTGTGTGAGAGAGAGAGACGAGTCTAGGTAGGAAATCCCCTAAGAAACGGCAGGGAGGGCCCCGATAGTGGTGTCTTGAAGGAGAACCGGCTGGGGGGTTGGGAGACCACAGGGAAGAACTGGAAGAGGGCAGGGGCCGTGCCAAGAGGGCTGGTTAGGGAGATGGCGCCTGGGCTAAGGCCCCCAGGGAGCCACTGAGGGTCGAACGTGAGGTTCTGACTCGCCAGGTGCTGTGAGGTGGGTGCTTTGGAAAAGGAAAGCAGGCAGGGGCACCAGACAACCCAGTCTAGGTGCACCCTGACCCCCAGACCCCGCCCAGCCTGCGGGGGCACGAGATTGTATGACTCAGCCTCACCAGTGGGAGGGGGGCCCATGGGGCCAGTAAACCGCTCTGGGCTTGAGCCTCTCCCAGGATCCCCAGCGCCAATTGCTATATGGCTTTACAAGCCCCTGAAGCTCAAGAACCTCCAGCGGGAGCCAGCTCCCCACCCTATAGGACAACACCCCCACTAATGAGGTCCTAAGATCTCCCCAATGGGCTCCTCGCCCCCTGGCTGCGGAAGCACCCCTCAGTCTCCTCCCCTCCTGGCTCCTAGGTCTGGTTCCAGAACCGCAGAGCCAAGTGGCGGAAGCGTGAACGTTATGGGAAGATCCAAGAGGGACGGAACCCCTTCACGGCTGCCTACGACATCTCAGTGCTGCCCCGCACCAACAGCCACCCCCAGGTGAGACGCCTAGCCAGGGCGTGGCCACGCTTCATGGGGTGCAAGGGGACAGAAGCAGCATGGGGCAGGCTCTGGGTGACCTTGTGCACCTCCCATCTTCCTCTGCCTTTGAGGCAGCGGGTCTGTGAGCAAGCGTTGCCTGCTGGGCACCTGGTGCAGCCGCTGCTGCCAAGGACCACTGAGGACAGGGCTTTGAGACGTGCGGGAGGGAGCCTCTCAGGAAGTGCTGCCTGCCCAGCATGGGGGGCTAGGAAGAAGCCCTCTTGGGCCAGAGGGAGCTTTCCTGGAGCCCCTGGGTGAGGGAGGCAGCCCCCCAACCCTGAGCTATTGGCTCACCGCCTTCCTTTCTCTCTTTCAGCTGCAGAACTCCTTGTGGTCCAGCCCAGGGTCAGGGAGCCCCGGGGGGCCCTGCCTGGTATCCCCAGAGGGCCTCCCGTCCCCCTGCATGTCTCCATATTCCCACTCCCACGGGAACGTTGCTGGCTTCATGGGGGTGCCGGCCTCCCCCGGAGCCCACCCTGGCATCTACTCCATCCATGGCTTCTCCCCGACCCTGGGGGGCCACAGCTTCGAGCCTTCCCCGGACGGCAACTACAAGTCTCCCGGCCTTGTGTCACTCAGGGTGAGGCCCAAGGAGCCACCCAGCTTGCTCAACTGGACCACGTGATCCATCAGCCACGGGACTCAGACTGAGTGGCTCCCCCGCCCCCAACCCCTAGGCAGAGTGGTTGAGCGCTCAGCTCTGGGGTCTTTCTCTTGGGGCAAGGTGGGACTGCCCAGGATCAAGTGGGCTACAGAGCAGGGCCCAGGCCTCAGCCTGGCACAGACTTGGGTTCTGAGCCAAGCTGGTGGGGGGCGGGGGAGGGGGCGGAGACACTGTGAGGCCCAAGGAGCCACCCAGCTTGCTCAACTGGACC